GCAAGAGTATGCGGATCTATTTTGAATATAATTTCTATATTTATGTTTGAAACTACACCATTTCAAAAACACACTAGAACTTTCTGGCTAGCTGTTGGCAGCGTGGCATATTGGCCAGACACACCATGGTTTGTTTTTCATTTGTGCAAACAATTACCAGCTGCGAGACGGTAGATAATTGGCTGCTTGCAATCAATCACTCGGCCGGTGTATAATAAATAAACAATCATTTCTTGAAGTTTCTGTTTTCATGCTAACCGAACCATCATCTCTGCCAAAATATATTTTATTCCAATGGGAGGAGGTAATGAACATAATCTTCAGTGTGAAATGAACTATTGATAATACAGTGTTATTTAACGTAATATTCTTCTTCAACCAACTTGAAAGTTGGATTGAATGTTAATCTGTAGCCGCCCATGTTACTAAATATGTAAGAATTATTCGTCCCTAATTATTAAATACAACATATATTGTATGCATATCTACTATGAAATATGTTGATCTTTGCCCTTTCACAATAATTTCTAGTCTCGTGGCTGTTGACAAAACATCTAATGGATTTCCTAAATGTAAAGCATTGCTTTCCACCGTATAGTATTCTATGGATTATCTCAACTGACAGAACAACATAACACACTAACACGTATCCAATCTTCCTAATGGATTATCATAATATCATTTCAAGGTCGTTATCATTAAATATTTAGTGATTTTAATTTTAGGTTTTGAGATAAACCCAAACAATCAAATATATGGTGTGCATGTAATATTGTTACACTGTTCAGGTTGGTCTTATCAGTTAGCCCAAGGTACAGCTTTCGGATATTTTTCGGTCGTTATTATCGCCGGTTGTCAGGCGGTGAAAATGCCCGGATGTGTTTTTTTGAGCTAATACATTTTCGATTTTTCCGAAACATGAAATTGCGAAAAGATGGATCAGCTGGGTCTCATCCGTATGATAATAATGTACTTTTGTAGAGATTGTTTACACGACGCAATTGCATATTACATCAGTATCACGTTAATATTTACGGTTACAACAAATCGTTGATACATTTATTTGTTTCAGGTCTTATATCAGGTCTTATGATATAATGCACTTTAACACTTTACCATCAGTACTGCCCGTGAGCACTAGGATCCTCCACAATGTTGAATTCGTCACATCGCCATGAGAACCTGAACGCCTTTCAACAACCTCTCACAACGACCTCTTAGCGCATGTGCATTTACAAAAAAATAAGAAAGTAACAAAAGAAATAAAGATATGCAGAAAATAAGAGCATAATAATTTTGTAAAATCATTATTTCTAGAGGGCTCACTGGAAGGAACTAACTATAGGTTACTCCGAGAGTGCAAATAGGGAAAGAATACTTTTCAAGAATACCTCATGAGCTCGAATCAATGTTAAATACCAAATTAACCCTTGAATATTTTTTCATTCATTAAATCTGACAATGGTAAAAATTCTTTCAATCTTTTCTGGGTCCAGAACTTTTCAAAATCCAATTGCTCTAAAAGCGAATGAAATAATTCTTGAAATTGTTTTTCCCATTAGTCAGATCAACATTTTTACCAAAATATAAAATCAGAAGCAATGTCTCCGTAAAATGTCATTGGAATCAATCTAATACTTGCATAACAGGTTAATAAAGATATCTCAGTATCCAAATGACCCAGTAAAGTTCACAACATATACTTGACATTTACAATATGGAAGATAGCATACATTATTCATACTTGCATTATGTCAGAATATAGTTCAATCTTTAACGGAAAAGGAATTACTAATCATCGTTCTATACATACATATTTTAAAAAGTTTCTATTTTGTGTAAAATATTGATACATCACTCAAATATAGTAAGCTCTCGTCATCAGCTCAATCCATCGCTACTATGTCAACCATTAGACAGAGAAGATCATCATACATGTAGGATGTGATCGTTTGTTTTGTGATTGTTGCCTAATACATAGCTTAGCAAAGAGTCGTGAACATCAATATGTCTAACAACACAACATTATACGAAGCTGACATTTCCGTTTACACGGCAACGCCGTTTATTTACGTTTCGGCGTTAGTCTTTGGGATTATAGGCGGTCTCGGTAATATGATGGTTATTTTAGTTGTGCTGACGACGGAAAAAATGAGAACTCTCACGAATTTCATGATTTTGAATCTCGCCGTGGCAGATTTTTTTACTTCGGTTTTACTCATCGGAAACATGTTCGTGATTCAAGCATTTTCTTTACGTATTCCGGCTGATTTAGCCGGGGAAATCTACTGCAGTCTGTATAACAGTGCTGTGTTCTTTTGGGTTAGTATCAAGGCATCCACGTATAACTTGGTAATAATGACATTTGAGACATACGTTGCTGTGGTCCACCCTCTTCTGTACCCCAGATACAGAACAAAGCGGAATATCGTCGCCTCAGTCATAGTAAGTTGGCTGTTAGGATTTATCTTGGAGGTTGGTCTTGTAGGATTTCACGGAAATGATAAGACGGGGTGCTACAAATTCCGATACCCGACTCGACAATTGTCTTGGGACAATATTAGGGTGTTTGCACTTCATTGTTTCTTACTTTATCCCCATGAGTTTTCTCATCTGCGCGTGTTATAAAATAAAGACACGCCTGAGAACGTCACTGGTGAACACACTGCCATCTACAGAAGAAGGATCCCGAGCTCAAAAAACACTGCAAGCTCACCGACGAATAGTGAAGACTCTCTATTTGGTTGTTCTAGCATATGCTATTTGCTGGACGCCAAACCAATTCTTGTTCTTAGCGAATAACATTGGGGCTAATATTGTCTATGATTCGAATTATTACAATGCAGCCATCGTTCTCGCGTTCACAAACTGCCTATTCAATCCGTTCATTTACTTCTTCAAATACAAGCAGTTCAGATACAATTTTCTTAAAATATTTTGTCCGTGTCTGGTGAAAAACGTAATTGAAGTACTTTCAAATGAAGAAGGATATGCGACGTTTGCAACACATGGTGGGACAGTTGCAATACAAGATGGGCGGGTTGCAGAGCAAGGTGGGGTGGTTGCGTCCGGTTAAACGGCATTTGAAGGCACCAACTTGTACTATGTATTTTATTTTATTTTCAATCTCAGGCTTGTGTTGATGCTGGTTTTCTGGAATTTGTTTTGACACCGTTGACATTACAGTACAAATTCACATGACAATTGACCAAATAGAACTGTATATCGTTTAATGAGATGACAAGGTAAAACATCTACCATCATTTATTAGTGTACCTCATTAAGTGTCAACATGAATTCCAGTATGCCATACCTAAAACGTACAACTACATAGACAATGTGAAGAAAAATAATTAGGTACGATATGGATCACGTAGACAGTTTTGATGCTAGAACTGATGGCTCCTCTCACAATTTTTTTTTAAATTTTTTCCCTATCACCTTGACGACGAATCACTTAATGTGGTCTAATTAAGCAGTTTTATTTTCAGAAATTGTTTGTGTGAATTAGTTTAAATAAGTATGAGTACCAGATACAAACGGTAAGGTAATAAAGCTATGTCAACAGAATGTCAACAAGTAATACTATAAAAATTATATCAGTTTGATTATTGACGATGAGATGATACAGTAACTATTTATGTGTCAGTGATTCACACTTGTATACAAACATATTGTCAATGTATAATCTCTCTCTGTTCCTATAATATGAATAAATTACGGTGTAGCTTGTTTCGACGGGTAGCAGTTTTCAATGGGGTCGTGGTTATGGCACATACTAGTGATACAATTGTACACGAGCTCACTCACTGACTTCCCTTTTCCATGACAAGTGACAAAATATACCTCGTTATATGAAATTACTTCACTTTTTTCCAATCAGACTAGAGTAATGTCACGTCGCCGATCAGCCAAGTATATTACTACTGTCAATATTCAAAGTAATACTGCTCGTCCCTATGTAATCAACGAGCATGTCCCACACTATCACATAATGAAATACTTGGATATAATGTAGATTGGCTAATCGACAAGGAGCCACGTCTTTCTCGTAGCCTTGATTGAGCAAGTATGTGCCATACGGGATTAACCATACCTGTTATATGCCTAGATATGCCTAGATTGAGCAAGTATGTGCCATACGGGATTAGCCATACCTGTTATATGCCCAGATTGATACCCGAGTAATTGCTATAGTTGCGTAAATATAACATCGCATAGTATGAACAATCCGAGATTGGTAGTACAAAACAACCTGAACACACATACCCCCTCTTTTCGACAGCGATAAACAAAAACTTATAATTGCAAAATATTATCGATATTTCTATCACTTAGTATTCATTGATCTAATTTAGAATTAACATATTAAAAGTAACACAAACTTAATTTATATAGCGGCTGACTGTATATATGTATTATAATGCAAAACACGTCAAAATTATGAGTAATTTTTAAAAGTGGCTCATAAAAAATAACTGAAACCACTTGAGGGGTTACATACTGTAAAATATATAACTGGTGTTACCCTACATCAAACAAATGTAGAACCCCCTGGGTAGAACCATTGCTTGGTGTTATGCATAGTGTTTTACTACCGGCTTAACTTGGGGTCGAAGGTTTTTTTGTTATGTTTTATTAAATAGCTGTAGAACTTTACATAGCGGGCCAACTATTTTTAAGTTGCAGAGCGATGTGTTGTCAAGTAGCGGAACTATTTTCAAGTAGCGTATCGATTGTATATATGAGCAACCGTACATCACTTCTTAAATTAATTAAAATGCCACAACACATGCATATCGATGTCGATAAACGGTCAAAATATGGTAATACGAATGTGTTTGTGAATATTTCACCACTGACACAATCTATTGTCAAGCAATCTCATGCGAACGTACAGTATAATCAATATAAATTAGTCATTATAAAATACACAGATTTTATGTACATATATGTCATAAGAATTAGATGTATATTTTTATGATCAATTTCTTTAGAGATAGCATTCAACACATGAATCATTGAACCGTTTGGAATATGATCCGTGTCTTTAATCTTCTAAATGGTTTTCTCATTAAATTATAGGAGCACTGAGCTTATTATAATTACGGCCTGTTTTTTTTTCAAAGATAAATAATAACATTAAATTGCTAGTTATACATCATCAATCATCATAAATTAATCAACAAAATTATCAAAGGTGTATGTGTAACTTTGTAGTAAAAATATGTAACAGCGTGTGTATCTTCTGCTGCACTTTTAGTTGCGCACTAAATGGAATATTTTCTGTTTGTGTTAAAGACATTGAAAAGCAAACATTTACTGATTTTACCATCGATTTTTTTTCTCACATTCATAGTTGTATTAACATAATAGCATCCGGCTCTGCTTGAGCCTAAACGACTTTAACAAACTTTGCCTAGCACCACAAATTGTGCGCTCACCGTCTGCGTAACATACACAAATGATGTAACAAATATAATAAATATAGTAAAATGTAAAAGCAACCACATATGTCATGACGCCTTAACCACAATGCCTAATACCAATCATAAGTGTAATAACTTTAATTAAGCACGAACGTAACATCCCAACCACAAATATAATAAATTTGACCAATCATTAATGTAATAACCCTTAACCACAAATGTATTAACATATTGATTTTCGACAGTGTCTGTATATGAAGGTAAAAAGGCGCTTAAACGTTGAGGTGATCGATGTGAAAAACTGTAGATGTTCATACATTTTAAAATTTAGTTTTTATGCCACTTGTATAATTATGTATCATAGACATGTGGTTGTATCAACCCTATATGTAATCTGTAATCAGCCATATTTGTAATAGAAAACGATTAACATTATTTATAATACCAACCTTATTTTAATAACCACCAAGCATATTTGTAATAGCAACTCAAGTGTTATGCCCCGACATCATCCACACAAACAAATTAGCAACATTAGTTCGTTTTGGGATTACAGCCGAAACCATCTTACAGGAGAAACATCAAAACCATAAGAATAATCAGAACAAAAACAAGAGGCTTGTGGGCGGCACAAGCATTTATGTTAGTGGTAGTGGTAGCCAAAGCCTAACAACAATCATAGATCGTAGATATTCAATAATCGCAATTTTAATATACGATGGACGAGGCAGACATTATATATTTAAATAAACGTGCCTAAGAATATCAGTTACTGGTTAGTAATTTAGCTCAATAATTTGAATTGAACGATTGATTTGGAATATATATATGTATTATAATTTACGAATAAGGTTGGTACTCAAAAAGTAGCCTTCTCCCCTCCCACTATAATTGGTTGGGTCCAATACGATATTCCAATAAGACATTCAATTTTTCATAGCGAGCTTGTAAATTTACGCACCAAATTTGATACAGGGTCAAGTGATTGCAAATAAAAATCTTGCGTTCACGTATCAGGTCATTGAGTGCGTTCATATGGTGCTGTGATCTGCAGTGTTACCTTCTAAAATGGAATTTTATTGCATGTTTGGGGATGGGGTGGTTACACTTCTGGATAAAAAAAAATGCCCCATGATATTTTGTCTTGGTCGACCGGCTGAAAATGTTATCTTCGATCCGAGTTTGTATTCTAAATAGACCTTATATCACACTTTATCCTAGTTAGTTTCTATATAGAAATGAAGGACAGCTATGTCCTTAGGTCTGTTCTAAAGTACAGTTTGTTCATATAGGACAGTTCTAAAAGACACATATTTCAAATAGGACTGTTCTAAAGGACACCTAGGACTTTGATAAACGATAGCTAGTTCCTATAGCACTGTTCTAAATTACAAATAGTTCCTATATGACTGTAGTAGAGGTCAGCTAGATCATATATAACTGTACTAAAGGACAGCTAATTCCTATAGGACTGTACTAAGCCGTTACTAAAGTACAGCAGGTTCCTATAGAATTGTACAAAAGGACAGAAAGTTCCTATAGAACTGTATTAAAGAAGAGCTAGTTTCTATCAGACTGTTCTAAATGACAGCTAGTTTATATAGGACAGTTCTAAATGACAGCACATCCCCCAAAACTGTTCAAAAGGACAGCTAGCTTATATAGGACTGATCTAAAGGACATCTAGTTCATATAGCACTGTACTAAAGGACAGCTAGTCCCTATATGACTGTACTAAAGGACAGCTAGTCCCTATATGACTGTACTAAAGGACAGCTAGTCCATATATGACTGTACTAAAGGACAGCTAGTCCCTATATGACTGTACTAAAGGACAGCTGGTCCCTATATGACTGTACTAAAGGACAGCTAGTCCCTATATCACTGTACTAAAGGACAGCTTGTCCCTATATGACTGTACTAAAGGACAGCTAGTTCATATATGACTGTACTAAAGGACAGCTAGTCTCTATATGACTGTACTAAAGGACAGCTAGTTCCTATATGACTGTACTAAAGGACAGCTAGTCCCTATATGACTGTACTAAAGGACAGCTAGTTCCTATATGACTGTACTAAAGGACAGCTAGTCCCTATATGACTGTACTAAAGGACATCTAGTTCCTATATGACTGTTGTAAAAGAGAGCTAGTTCCTATTGGGATGTACAAAGTATAGTTAGTTCCTATAGAGCTATAC